GGGGCGTCTGGGGAAGCAGTGCAGAGATCGCTGGCACAACCACTTCAATCCTGACGTCAAGAAGTCTTCCTGGACCCCGGATGAAGATCTGATCATCTACAAGGCCCACCGCGTGCTGGGAAACCGCTGGGCGGAGATCGCAAAACTGCTGCCTGGAAGGTGAAACACACTGCAGACTTCAGCCAAATGCCAAATTATCTGAATAGTTGAATGTGGGTTAGTTGTCTTCTTATCTATATATATATATATATATATATATATATATATATATATATATATATATATATATATATATATATATATATATATATATATATATATATATATATATATATATATATATATATATATATATATATAAAATTGTATTTCTGAAAACTATATAAAAAAAAAAGTTGTTTATTTACATATATTATATCCAGCCTGATCTCACGAGAAAACGTAAGTATTTTACGTTTTGCCAGTTTAGTGGCTAATTCGTACGAGTTCAGTCGTACGAAATGGTACGATTTTAAAAAGGAGGCGTGGCACCTGACCCCACCCCTAACCCCAACCGTCATTGGGGGATTAGCAAATCGTACTAAATTGTACGAACTAGATCGTACGAATTCATACAAATTAGCCACTAAATGAAAAAGTTACGAATTGCCGTGAGATTGTGTTGATTATATCTACATTTTATTTGCTCATTCATTTTCTTTTCGGCTTAGTCCCTTTATTAAGCAGGGGTCTCCAACTTACCGCCAACTTATCCAGCACATGCTTTACGCATTTACCATCATTTTGTATATTTTGATCAAAAAAATATTATTATTTTTATGTAAAATGTTGTGTTATTGCAATGTAAAACACCTGCTCTCTGTGTTGATAGACTGTAAACTGTAGTTCAGTGTCACATGATCCTTCAGACAACACACTAATATGATGATAAAAAACACCATTGATTATTCTCAGTGTTGATCAGTGTCATATTATTGTGTAAACTGAATTATTTCATTATTTCAGGATTTAAATATGATTAAAAGAGGAGAATTGATTTAAAATAGAAACCTTTTTTAACATTAGAAATATCTTTAAGGACGTTTTTAATCAATTTGATGCAGCGTAGCTGAAAAAAAAATCACTAATTTATCGTAAAACAATCCAACTGTTTGCATCAATGTATGTGCAGTAATTCTGATGTTTGGTGTGTGTCGCCTCCTGGTGTTCAGAACACACACTGCAGCTGAGATTGACATATTTTCCTTAAAGCGTACTTATTTATATTTATATATTCAAGCTTATTTCCCTGTTACTCAAATGTGATAGTAAGTGTGAAAACATTACGGTTTATAAATATGCATATAAATAATAAAGGGCGGCACATCGGCTCAGTGGTTAGCACTCTTGCCTCATAGCAAGAGGGTCGCTGGTTCGAGTCCCAGCTGGGTCAGTTGGTGTTTCTGTGTGGAGTTTGCATGTTCTCCCTGTGTTGGTGTGGGTTTGCTCCGGGTGCTCCGGTTTCCCCCACAGTCCAAACACATGCGCTATAGGGGTAGTGATCAACTACACTGGCAGCAGTGTACAAGTGTATGAGAGAGAATGAGCATGCATGGGTGTTTCCCAGTACTGGGTTACAGCTAAAAGGGCATCTACTGTGTAAAACATATGCTGGAATAGTTGGCGGTTCATTCTGCTGTGGAGACTCCTGCTTAATAAAGGGACTGAGTTGAAGGAAAATGAATGAATGAATGACAGTGAAATAAAATTGATTAAACCGCACAGCCCTAAGTGTGTGTGTGTGTGTGTGTGTGTGTTTGTGTGTGTGTGTGAGTGTGTATGTGTGTTTGTGTGTGTGTGTGTGTACCTGGTTTCTGGCTGCTCATGTGTCTGCTGAGGGCGGCTCTTGCTGCAGCCTGAGAGGCGGGGATTGTTGTGGGCGTGGTCTTCTCTGAGGGCGGAGCTCCGTGTTTGACCGTTTTAGTGGCTAACGCTGTGCTGTCTGCACTGTCCATGTTGATCTTCGGCACTGAAACACAATCAACAGCAGCTCAAACACGAACGTCTAACTAGGACAGACGGCTGCTTCTCACTCAGGGCTGCCGTTTATGCTAATGAGATGGAGAGAGGGGCACTAGTGGGCGGGGCTTTCCCTGCTGATGATGCGTACAAAGGGAGAATGTCAATCAGTGTGTCATTCAGCAAGGCTGATTCTAACAAACACACTTAAGTCATGTTGATCATTAAAGGGTGGAGATGTTCACACACTTTAAACCCCTTATTAAATTGATTTTTATAGTATAAATGCTCCTGTTTGACGGAGACTGACCGGTGCTGATGGTGTTTATAGGGCCGCTCTGCACCCTGCTGAAGGGGCTGCTTTGCACATTGAAGCCCGGCTGGATGGAGGGCGTCCGCACCACTGCAGGGTGTCTGGGGATGGCCGGAGCCAGCAGCTGGACCGGCAGGGGCTCGTCCTCTTCCTCTGCCACCGCCAGACTGTCCTCGGGATCCTCCACAGGCTGAGACAGAGACGAGCTGGAGCTCACGTCATCCAGATCCTCGTAGAACTGAGGAGAGAGGAAGGCCGAGCGAGAGAGGTTCGCTGACACAGAGAGAGAGAGAGACTAGTCAGAAACATTATTACACAGCATATGATGACTGTACAGTTGTGTTAGAAATTAAAACATTTAGGACTTCACTTCAGGAGCACAGGTGTGTGTGTGTGTGTGTGTGTGTGTGTGTGTGTGTGTGTGTGTGTGTGTGTGTGTGTGTATGCATTGTGTGTGCGTGTGTGTGTGTGTGTGTGTACCTGTTTGTGCTTTTATGTGTGTGTGTCCTACCTGGAGCAGTGGAGCGCACCGGTGGAGTCTGACGCTTAGACAGGAAGTTCCTCAGCTGAGACTGTTTGACTGGAGTCATTTTAGCTGCGCACACACACACACACACACAAAATTAAACAATTCAACAAACAAACATATAAACACACACAAATACACACAAGGACGCACGCGTGCACACACGTATGCATGAACACGTTTACACAAAAATGTATGCACATAAACAAACGTACGCATGCACACAAACACACATATGTTCACACACATAGACATGTTTACAAACACACACGCTCACAAATGTACACAAACATGTACGCACATGAACACAAACAAGCACGCATACACAAACACACACGCACTGAAAGACAAACATCCATGTGCACACCTGCGGATTCACAAACACACATGCATACAAACATAAGCACAAACAGGTACACACACACACACTTACACACACACAATGCATGCATGCACATTTACAAACACGCATGCATACACGCATAAGCGCAAACAGGTACACACACACACACACACACACACACACACACACACACACACACACACACACACACACACACAATGCATGCACATTTACAAACATGCATGCATACACACATAAAAGCACAAACAGGTACACACACACACACACACACGCACACACAATGCATACACACGTATAAGCACAAACATGTACACACACACACACACACATGCATACACACATAAAAGCACAGGTACACACACACAGTGCATGCGCGCGCACACACACACACACACACACATAAAAAAAAGCACAGGTGTACCCACACACAAACACACAAAAGCACAGGTACACACACACAGTGCATGTGCACACACACACGCGCACACACACACACACACACACACAATGCATACACACGTATAAGCACAAACATGTACACACACACACGCACACACACACGCACACACACACGCACACACACACACACATAAAAGCACAGGTGTACCCACACACAAACACACAAACACAAACACACGCACACATACACAGGTTCATAAACACACATGCAAACACACATAAAAGCACAAGCAGAAACATACACACAATGCATGCATGCACACACATGCACGTTCACAAACAGCAGCTCTTCTTCACTACCGTAACTCATGAATCTCTAACCTGGAGATTTAGCAGGAGCTTTAGGGCTCGTCTCCAGACTGGCCTTCAGGAGGGCGTCCTTCAGACTCTCCAGCTCACTGTCCAGACTGAAAACATGAATTACACGCATTTATTATGCGTTAATAAATGCTGAGCTGTTTTAAAAATGTCTTTGTGTGATGTGTTTTCATTAGTGCTGGGCAAAGATTAGCCGTATACAAACTAAAAGCTTGTTTTGACCAAATATAAGTGCGTATATTATATTTATATTTATTTATTTATGATGTATAAGTGATAGAAACAAAATATTTCGTTACATACATATTTAAATGTATACATTATATATTGTATATCTAAATATAAATAAACATTTTCTGAAATTACATGCATGTGTATTTATATTTATATATATATATATATATTAAATAAATAGACGGTACACACATATATTAAGTCATAACAATTTTTTTACTTTGGATGCAATTAATTTCTGCCCAGCACCAGCTTTTATGCCCTGAGGATAGCATTTAAGCTGAAATGCATTGTTCAAAATGTTAACAAATGTCTGTCTTTTGTGCTGAAATCTCCTTTTCCTCCTATCAATATAAACATCACAGCTTTTTAATCTGTTTCCGAGGGTGCTGATTGGTGCACACTGACCTCTGCTCAGTGGGTGTGGATGGCGTTCGGCTGCTGAGGCTCCACAGTGCAGATCCTCTGTAGAGCCGCAATGTGTGGAGGTCAGAGGTCAGACGGTCCAGACGCTGCTTCTGCTGGTTGATGATGTCCAGATTATTGGCCAGCGCTGCGAACAGAGCCTCTCGCTGCGGGACGATCATGTGCCTGCGGGACAAATGCAGCGTTTACGTTACAAACTTAGTCATGATTATGTCACCCTGAATATCCATCTGTGCTTCATCTAGAACTCCACATCTATAATCCTCTTAGTCTATGCTGACGTTATCTCCAGCAGCTCAAACACTCTAATGGCTAATGGACCGACGGCTGCTTCTCACTCAGGGCTGCTGGAGATGCTAATGAGATGGAGAGATGCGCACTAGTGGGCGGGGCTTTCCCCCTCTGATCGGGTCTGATTGTAGGAAACACTATGTTGAGCATCAGAGGCTGCTGGGCATACTCACACACTGCTGACACACACACACACACACCTGGGGTGAATTTTGCATAGTAGTTCCCCTTTAACTTGCACAAATTAAAGGGTAATGGACAGATGGAAACACGCTAATAAAAGCAAACACCAGATCAGCTCACCGCTGTTTCTTCTTCTTCTCCAAGTGTTTTTCCCACTCCACGTCCAGCACATCATTCACGTCCTCCATAGCGAACTTCACGTACTGGTACAAGCGGCGGATCTCCTGTTACACAAACACACATTTGTCATCACAGAAACACTTAAAGTCACACTAATACATGACTCCTGACTCAATCTGGGAACAGATACACTTACACAGATAAAGAAAATGTATACACCTTACCGTAAAACTTAAAACAAGCTAAATAATCTGGCGAGTGGCTTTAATTTAAGGAAAAACTCACTTTATTTCGACTCTTTATGTCTGAAGACAAGACTATATGTTTTGCTTGTCCTGAAAATGCTTCCTGATTTAAGAGTTTTTATCTATTTGGACTAGAAACAAGGAAACTCTGAGTAATAATAGCATATTTCACATTTATTTTTTTCCTTTATTGCATTCAAAACTGATCTAAAAGAAATAAGATTATATTAAGAAATATTAAGAAAAAATAAATAAATAAATCAGATCATATTCAAATTGTATTTGTCATACAGTCATACACTAGGGATGCAACGAATCCCTGTAAAAAAAAAAAAGCATAGTCCTGTTGTCCTCCCACGTTTGAATACGCGCGGTGCAGAATATGCATGATTAATATTGGTTTGTTTACAAAAACAACTGCAACCAAGCAGTTCTGCCTTTGCACGCTTCAGATGACCTTTCACATACACTGCACATGCGAAGACCTGTCCAACCACTTCTTAGTATGTAAATCTGTTGTGTCTGTGTGCGTGCGTGTGTGTTTATGTGTGGAGTTTCTGTGGGTTTCAGCATGGCAAGTAATGAAGATAAGGCGCAAATGCGCAGGTGAGGCCAAATACAGCAGGTCCCGCTTCCGCTGAGTGCTCCTCTGCACCTGATCACTCCCGCTACTCACTCCGTTTATTCGTCGTCTGCTATTAACAGTTTTCTTCTCGACTGACTGTTCCCACTGAATTAAGAGAGAAGAGCCGAACGCTCTCTCTTTGCTTAAGTTTCATTCACTACGATGGAGCTGATACGTGTTACGAAGCTCTCTGGAATCATAATTAAATCATATAGAAATCATAAATAAACATGCATTGGTGCCTTGGTAATGCAAGCATAATGTAAACAGAAGGGATCAATACTTTTAAAGATGTGTTGACATGATTATTATCTGCATAATTGAGACTTTTCGAGATGTAAAATAGAAAAAGGGGAAATTAAGCTTATTTTTGCTTTATTTTCTTAAGCAATTTTTTTTAAACACACAATTTTCAAAATGCCCTACTTTTATTTAATTAAACATTCAAATCTAGTCATAGGTGTGAAGCTGCTGCGCTGTCAGGTGTTTGTTACCCAATATATATGTTTATTGTTCTTTGAATTGTTCTGTAAGAAATTTTTTTTCTAAGCATAGCACAAATCGTACCAAAGCCGTGACCTTAAAACTGTGATACATACTGAACCGAGAGTAGATTGAACCATTGCACCCCTAACATACACAGAATGACATGCAGTGAAATGCTTACACAACCACTCGTGACCTTAAAATATTGACAACAACAACAATGATGACAATAAGAATCTACAGAAATGCATGAGAAAATATAAGCAAATATTACTTATTTAAATATATAAAAACATATCCCAAGAAATACTGAGAAAAATGTCCTGGCTGCATTAAGGACATATTTAATATGAATGAATTATTGCATGCTGTGTGAGACCTTGAGCTGCTCGTCCCGACGTGGGTCCAAGGGTTTCTTGTAGAGCAGCTGCAGGTAATCTTTATCCTGGTTGAGTTCGCTCTGAGATCGCGCCTCCTCAGCCCCGGCGAAACCCTCCAGCAGGCTGGTCTTCAGTGCACTGATGTCTCCATGCAGAGACTGACACACACACACACATCAACACCGTTAATAAACACACTAGGCATGGGACGATAACCAGTTTCAAGGTTTAGCGTGGTATGAAAAGGTAATGGTTTTTAAAGTATATGGCTGCTGTTTATTCATTACTTTTCCTTTGGCTTAGTCTCTTTATTTACCAGGGGTCGCCCCAGTGGAATGAACCACCAACTATTCTGGCATACGTTTTACACAGCAGATGCCCTTCTAGCAGCAACCCAGTACTGGGAAACACCCATTCACACACACTCATACACTACGGCCAATTTAGTTAATCAATTACCCTGTAGCGCATGTGTTTTTTGACTGTAACAGAGCACCCGGAAAAACCTGTGGAATATGCAATTTATTTATTTTAACATGTTGTCACATCGCTGTTAACTGGGGACTATTTTCATGCACTGAGTAATATCATTGTGTATGGCAGCAAAACTCCTTTATTATTCCTCCAGAATGATAACATAGTGCAGCTATATCAGCCTTGAAAATAACTTTCCATTTTCCGTCAGTCTTAATACACAATATAAGGGGTCGGGCTTTAAATAGGAGAGTTATCAAAACTCTGGTCATTTTTGAGTGGGATGCTAACGGTCTAATCTGATTCCATGATCTATGCTAAGCTAAGCTGAGCGAGCAGGTCAATGCACACAAATAGAGCTCTATAGCAAGCAGATAAACAAGAGTGTATATATGAAATTAATGCAGAAAAATATGGTTAGCATATAAATACTGATGCATCTACCGCTAACAAATAATATGCAATAGATCTGCTCAAGCGTTCATACGTTTTAGAATCGGTTAATTAAAATAGATGCATGTCCACGTTAGCTCTGATCTGTTAAATAACATTAATTAATGGTAATATTAAAATAACTATTTTGTTTTAATCAGGAAATAAGACTGGACAAATGCCTCACTCTGATTTTCTAGCCTTTGTTTATCTTTCTAAAGTTGAACACTTTTAATGTAATGGGTATTTCCCCTGTGGTATTATTTTTCAAGGTATCATATCAAAATTAGAAACTCCATTATTGAGACAACACTAGTGATTTTCATTTTCTGTTGGTCTCAGTACACGATATACAACATAAAGGTCGAGATTTAAATAGGAAAACCATCAAAACCCTGGTCATTTTCAAGTGAGATGCTAACGGTCTAATCTGATTCCATGATCTATGCTAAGCTAAGCTAAAAATGCTCCCGATAGAGGGAAAGATCAGCTGAATGGATTAAAAAAATATTTAGTGGAGCAGCAAAATCAGAATATTTACAATAAAAGTGGAGTGTTCCTTTAACACACACTCATCTCTGTTGTCAGTGTGTGTGTGTTGTACCTCAGTGGTGTCTTTAATCTCCAGTGTGAACGTGTTCAGGTTCTCCGACTCTTTCCGCAGGTCCCTCATGTCGTCAGTGCTGCCCACTCTGAAGTCTGCGTTCCTGCAGCGGCTCTTCAGATCCTCCAGCTCCTTCTGGAAGAGTCCGATCTGAAGACAGAGAAATGCAAATTAAGGAGAAACATGTGTAATGAAATATCTCAAAACACACCCACAGAGCAGATTCACCCTCATCACACGCAGGAGAGAGAAGATACAGGCCAATCAAATCATTTATATAAATAGTTTTTTTTTTTGGTGCACAAAAGTGCGAATTACAGGGGGGTTTGGGGGAGATGGGTGTGTGTGTGTGTGTGTGCGCGTTAGGGTTGTCATGATACTGGAATTCAGTCTAATCAATACTCAAATTTTAAAAACGTCCATTTCCCGCTAACATTTAAGCGCTGTTAAGCACGTTCCTTACTCAAACATTTTTTTTTTTTTTGCTTGTTCAAACTACTTCTTGATTTAAAATGAGCTGAATCAACACAATTATTGAGATTTCATTGGGTCAACTTGATTTTTTGTTATGTTCGATTCATACATAAATGAATCATAGTCACGTCGATCAGCTGGTGTGTCTATAAGATGATATACGAGCTATCCGCTGATGAATCGCAGCTTTTAAATTCATGTTTTTAAAATTGCTGTGTTGACTGATACCGAATTTCAGTATCGTGACAACCCTAGTGTGTGCGTGGATGGAGTTTTACCTCTTCCAGGATTCCAGTCATGACCGGGTCCGAGTCCTTCTTCTGCTGCAGCTGCTTCTCCAGCGCCTTCACAGACACAGGCTGACGGAAACACACACACACACGTTTTTGTGAATTGCAGGGACATTCCATAGGATTTCACTGCTTCATACTGTAAAAACTGTATTTTCCATCGCCTTATCCCTATCGCTCTAACCCATTGGTCACCAATGTCGGTCCTAGAGGGCTGGTGTCCCTGCAGGGTTTAGCTCCAACTTGCCTCAACACACCTGCCTTGATGTTTCAAGTATACCTAGTAATGCTGCGTTCACATCAGATGCGGAATGCGCGTCAAACACGAGTGATTTACATGTTAAGTCAATGCAAACTCCCGAATAGACATCCTGCGACGCGAATGACGCAATACGCGCGAACGGCGTGGCGCGAATGATGCGAATTGCGCAAATGGCGCAGTGCGAATGTCGCGATACGCGCGGTGCGAATGGCGCAATACGCGCAGTGTGAATGACACAGTGCGAACGGCGCAGCGCGAATTAAGCGTTTTGCGCGTTTCGCTCGAGTTCGAAAATCTTAACTTCAGCGTACATTCGCGCATTGTTAACCAATCAGAAGCTTGCTCTTGTGGGGGTTGGGGGTGGCGGGGTGTTGGGCGTGACTCTCAGACGCGACCCTAAACGTATCGACGATGTTTTACAGCCTTCATAAAAGACAAACACTGTTTTTTCTTCATAAAATCCATGTTAGCCATTTAGCAACGAAGCTAGAGTCACCGGGCAGACAGAAACCCTGCCCATCTCGCGAACCCGCGTCTGTTTTGAAGTGCATTTGACACGCGAATAAAGCGGATTTGATGCCCAAAAGAAGCGGGGTTTGACGCACGAATGAAGTGAGTAACCTCAAATGTCCATGTGGCAATTTACGCGCGAATAGTGTGATCCGCGTCTGGTGTGAACACAGCATAAGAGCTTAATTAGCTTGCTCAGGTGTGTTTGATTAGGGTTGGAGCTAAAACCTGCAGGACACCGGCCCTCCAGGAACAAGTTTGGTGACCCCTGCTAACCTAAAACCCTACACTTCACTGGAGACTGCAGTTTTACTTTCAGAAAATAATTAAAATAATAGATTAATTAAAAAAAAATCAATTCTGATTTATGCGATTGTTGGGAAATGGGCACATCAGCAATGTCCTTGTAATTCACCTTCTCCTGTAATACCCGTGTCATAAACATGACATCAGTATACACATTTGTAATATGTCACACACACACACTAGTTGGTCGATTTTGTTTCTTACAATATATGTGAGGGCAATTGAGTCCTCACAAGTATAGCTAAACCTGCACACACAAACACACACATAGACTTCCATTGTTTTCCATTGTTAAATTAATAATAGTGTCGGTGGCCTAGCCCTATCCCTAACCTAAACCCATATAGAAACAACTGCATATCATTACATACTAATAAATATGTACTGGACAATTTATAAGCACATTTAATTAGTGAGGAGCATTAAAATATCAACACAAGTGGATCGTTTTTATATCTCACTATACACACAAACGCACGCACGCAGAGCAGCTGATTATGGATCAGAGCTGTACCTGTGCCGATGGAGTGCTGGACGCAGGAGCGGCTGGAGGAACACTGACCCGAGACAACACTGAAACACAACACACACGAAAATCGTCATCATCAAGTTCAAGTTGAGCCTTAAATATGTCTCACAGGACCACGGTGCTACATAAGTAAACATGATCATAAATATGAACACACACTGGACGCAGGAGCCATTTTAATCCTATACATGACTAATAAACTGCAGCGGTAATGCTGAACTATACACATAACCTAGGACAGACTATACCAGACCTTTTACATAAGACAGAACAATTTTCTCTGAGGTATTGTGCAAAAGAGGCATTTAAGGATGAAGAAAACAGGTAGTGCAACATGATGTATGGTTCATTCACAGGTAAACATTGCTTTTCTATTGAGTCCTGGCCAGATTAAACTCCATCTTACAAGGACTCAATAGGAAAGTAATGTTTACCTGTGAATAAACTATAAATCAGTGAAGTGTCTGGTGCATATGGAGAGAAGAGTGTTTCTCAGGGTGGTTTGCAAAGCCCACTCACCCGTGTGAGGGGCACTCAGAAATGCACAATGTTTTTTTATGGAAAGCGTCTTATGCGAATGTGCAAAACTGGTGCACAAGTGTTGGTTAAAGTGTCAGAGAGATGAAAGAGTGTCTTCTACAGGTGGTTTGTCAAGCCCACTCACCACCATCATCATCATCATCATCATCATCACCCTTAGATTTTAATAGACAATTATGTGCATGCATTTTCATGTCAGTGTGTGTTGTGACAGCGGTGGTGTGAGTGTGTACCTGCATGAGTGGAGGGTTTGAGCGCTGCTGTTGTGGGGGCGCTGGACTCTGCTGTGGGTTTGGGTGTGGAGGTCAGAGAGAACGGCTGCACAGGAGCCTCCACTGCTGAAAACCTGCACACACACATGCAGGCAGAGAGAGACACACACACAAATACAAACACACAAACAAACACCATTCAGGATTATACAGGGAATATGTCATCTGGATTACATAAGGCAAGTTTATTTATATAGCACATTTCATACACAGTGGCAATGCAAAGTGCTCTTATATCAGTGGTCCCCAACCCCGGGCCTGGATTAATCAGTACCGGGCCGCACAAGAATTATTTATCTTTAAGTTGGCAGATAAAGTAGCTGCATTTAAAGCCAAACTGGATTTGTGGGGACGCCACGTGAACAGAGGCGTATTGGACATGTTTCAAACATTAGCTTGGATTTAGTGTGAGACCGAGCCTCACCAAGCTGGTGCACGATCACCAATCTTCAGTGTTAAAGGAGTTTGAGCGCTACTTCCCAACCTCAAAGCACCCACAAACAGCCAAGGAATGGATACGTGACCCATTTGTCAACAAACCAGCTGAATCCAGCATGTCCGTGCAAGAAAAAAGACTGCAAATGACGGCGGCCTTAAAACAGTGTTCAAGATAACAACTCTGCCGGCGTTCTGGATTAAAGTCATGGCAGAATACCCAGAGATCGCTAACACAGCGCTGAAAACCCTGTTGCCATGTCCAACATGCTATCTGTGTGAAGCGGGGTTTTCTGCAGTGACAGCCACCAAAACGAGGCAAAGGAGGAGACTGGACACAAGCCACACACTTCAGGTGTCAATAGCCCCTTTCACACAGTGATACCGGTAAAAATATGGAAAATTTTCAGAACATTGGCTAATCAGCGCTGTTTAACACTGTAAAAAATGCAGGGTTCCACACAATTCATTCATGTTGTCCCAACACAAATTTATAAAGTTAACTTAGCACTTTAAACAAATTTATGTATGGATTGAACATAACAAAATATCAAGTTGACCCAATGAAATCTCAATAATTGTGTTGATTCAGCTCATTTTAAATCAAGAAGTAGTTTGAACAAGCAAAAAAAAATGTTTGAGAAAGGAACGTGCTTAACAGCGCTTAAATGTCAGCGGTAAATGGACGTTTTTAAATTTTCAGAACAAAAAGCGCTGTTCGTACAGGCGAGGACGTTACAGAGTTTTTCCGGAACAGAGCATTCACACATCCACTCCAAAATAGCGGTAATTCTGACACCATTAACCAGATATGAGCTCTAAATGGCTGCGCTTGTATTTGTAAACATTTGACGACAATCACAAACTCTGTGGATGATCTTTGATGAAAACATAGAGAGAAACACTTTGGCATGTCGAGATGTACATAATATGCGTGTGTGCTGGCGCTCACGGCTGTTTCACGGGCACACGCAAAGCTTGAAGATAAACAAACAACGGCTCATCATAAGCATCTTATCGATAATTAATTACACGGTTGGCATTAAGATGAACATATAAACGTGATCTGACTAATTTCTAGCAGCTAAATGTGTCTGGGAAAATATTCAAAGGCTTTTATTCTCGTAAACCGCACGGACGTGAATGCGTCTGACTGTTCTGATTGGCTGTTCTGACATTCTAGACGTGCACGCGCGCTTTCCGGCAGTCTTCCTTCTGCATTACCCCCAGATGGGACCATCTCGTTGCAAAGAAACAAGCTCAGGGCTCACACTGATTTAGCGCTACGGACAGTTTGTGATGTTATAATATGTTATATTGTTGGAGCAATGTGCTAATAAAGTTATTACTTCCTAATGTTATAATAGCATTGTAATGTTGGAGCAATGTGCTAATAAAGTTCCACATGAGTACACAGTGGATTCACCTTTATTATATTTATTATTATTAATTCAACTTTTTTGGTACCTATTAATCTATTGGACGTCTTTCCAACAGATTCGATTTTTCACCTAAAATCGAAAAGTTTACAGCTCTATTTACCTGCCCCCCAATTTCAAAGTCTCTTAAATCCCCTTTCTTCCCCATTCTGATGCTCGCTTTGAACTCCAGCAGATCACCTTCACCATTTCCACATGCCTAAATGTGGTGAGCTGCTGCCATGTGATTGGCTGATTAGAGATTTGCGTTAACGAGCAGTTGGACAGGTGTACCTAATAAAGTGGCCAGTGAGTGTATACACATCTATATCAATATATATACTCAACTGCACACACAATAAAGCAATGCACTTATTTGTTTTACGCACTTAATAGCAACAAGAAAGCCTACCTGTCAGTGAGGTTCATCTTGACAGCAGGAGTCGCGGGCTCCACTGGTGCTTTAGGTGCGCTGATGATTGGAGACATGCTGGCCGGACGCTGAGGAGGAACTGGAGCGGCAGTGGCCTCCTTTAGGGTGGAGGAGCTGAAAGAAAAGCCTGCAGCAGAGGACGACGAGGGTTTGGGCGGATTAAAGGAGAAACCGGAGCTGCTGGAGCCCAGAGAAAAAGCTGGAGGAGCCGCAGAGCTCAGAGGAGGAAGAGAAAAGGAGAAACCAGAGGAGGAGGTGGGCGGAGCCGAGGAGTTGGCTGGGGGCGGGGCTGAGAATGATGCTGGGGGAGGGGTTGAGAATGATGAGGTAGCTGTGGGAAGTGCTGAAAATGATGCTGGGGGTGGAGCTGAGAAAGATGAGGTGGAAGGGGGCGGGGCTGTGAATGATGTTGGAGGTGGAGCTGAGAATGAAGAAGTGGGTGTGGGCAGGGCTGAAAATGATGCTGGAGGTGGGGCTGAGAAGGATGATGTGGAAGGGGGCGGGGCTGTGAATGATGAGGTAGCAGAGGGAGGAGCTGTGAAGGGTAATGTGTAAGGGGGCGGGGCAGAGGAAGTCACTGGGGGCGGGGCTGAGAAGGATAATGTGGCTGGGGGCGGGGCAGCAGTGGAGGATGTTGGAAATGATGGGAAGATGGAGGATGCAGTGGCGACTGGAGCAGCAGGGAAGGACGACTCTGAAACGAGATGTGCAATAAAGTTAATGTTAAAACTGGAGCTTGGATGGTAAACGACACTCACACAGCGATGCCGGTATTTTCCAAAAAGGTGGACAGGTGGAGAACGAGCAAATGATGACAGAATTTACATTATTATGTATTTAAACAGAAATATAACATTTAATTTGTATATTTTTGTGTTGTATGTACAGAATGTGAGCATTTTTATACTAATATACATGATATGGCTCTATATCAGCACTGGTGGGAGGTGTGCGTTGGCACCAGGCTGCAGGCGTTCCACTAGTGCTGATATACAGCCATTTAGCACTGCTACTCATGAGATATTGTGTTTATACAACAGTTCAACGGCACAATCGTGTATATAAATAAGAAATTCAAACACAGAGAGTCTAAAAACCCCTTTTTATGAGGAACTACTTTCTTCCGCCATTCATTCACATCTGCAGCTGACGTCAGAACAGCAGAAGCAGTTACTCATTCACCAACATCACTATAGAGCTAGTGTTTGAATGATTCTCTAGCGTAATGTCTAAAGTGATGACAGAACAGCTGATTTTGCTCTTATTTTAAGATTATAAGGCTGAACGTGACATGAAATGCCATCAGTCTACAGAGATATCTTCTTACAGTGTTACAGTCTGCAGTATTTCTCTGCTGCAATCGGGATATCACAATAATTAACCCCGAAAAAAGCAACGCAATCACTACCAGACTGCTGTTGTGCTTGCGATAAGGAAAAACGCTAAACACATGCAGACTTTGCTTCTCTCTGTCTGCCAACACAACGCACATTCCTGATATGTGAGCATTTACATTACATTTTTCACCGCCGTGGGTTTATAACACGAGCATTTATGATGCCGACGTCTAAGGACAATAAGATGTTTCACAAATCCTTATAAATGTACTTTTGTGCCTGAAGCAATTAGGTTATGTAATAAATGTAGTTAATTGATGGACTATTATTTGTTTTTCTTTGTACTTGCTGTTAAGTGTTGATGTTTATTGTGTTAAGTGTGTCATACTTGTTATAATATATGTGTCGAAATATACACCATGTCGAAATGAATTGCCCTAAGGAGATTAATAAAGTTTTAAACTAAACTAACTGATTGTATTTTAATTACTTTACAACATTGATGCTGTAAAAGGAATCATGTAAAATAGAAAAAAACTCTTTTCAGTAGTTTATCAGTATGGGAACAACACTAGCTGGGCATAACACTGTTAAGAACCGGGATAGGATGCAGTGGGTTTTGGGCGGCCGCTGCGTTCAGGTACTGTACCAAAGTTGGCAACCCGGGGATGTTTACAGTCTGTACCAAATAGGAGGGTGAGTGAAATTACGGGAGTTTTCCGGAAGATTTAAAAAAACAGGATGGTTGCGGGAGACTAGTCTGAAGTA